GTAGAGAGAGAGAGAGAGAGAGAGAGAGAGAATTGTAAAGAAAGATATGTTTTCTAGATATTTTCAAAGCTTTCATGATTCATGAATATACAAACGATCATGTTTATATCACACCACTGCAGACATGTAAACATATAACCTAATGGAATTTTGGAGAAATTCAGAAGGAAATTCACTTGACTTTCTACACTTTGATCTTTTTCTCTAACCTTGTCATCATTTTCATTTCCCTTTTGCTTTGAAGGTAATAATGGGCAGGAGAATCAAGATTCCTCTGAACTGTCCCAAGTGATCAATGCTAAAGATGGAACAGAGAAGTTTGGAATTCGAATGGAATTTGAAAGCCATGAGAGAAACCAGTCAAAGATTTGGAATCAGGAAAGCTCATCTTACACTGATGCTCCAATGCAAGACTTTCTTGCCCAAGAAGAGAAAATAAGGAAAAAATATACTGGAAAAAGTGTGAAGCTATTCAAAGGTACAGTACAAGTAAATGAAAACTATTTAACCCAAAACAAAGGAGAAGATGCTATAAGAAGACACAATGGACAAAATTACAATGGGACATTCATTCTTTCTCTTGGGAATAACTTCCTTACAGCTCAAAAAGTGATTGACACAAAAGAGAAGCCTTATAAATGTTTGGAATGTGGAAAATGTTTTAGAACAAGCACGGAACTTACTATCCATAAAAGGATCCATTCAGGAGAGAAACCATATAAATGTTTAGAGTGTGGAAAGACATTTGCTCATAGCAGTAATCTTATTTCCCATAAAAGGATCCACTCGGGAGCGAAACCATATAAATGCATAGAGTGTGGAAAGACCTTTGCTCATAGAAGTACACTTACTTCCCATGAAAGAATTCACACAGGGAAAAAACCATATAAATGCATGGAGTGTGGAAAGACCTTTGGTGAAAAACGTAATCTTATTTCCCATAAGATGATCCACAAAGGAGAGAAGCCGTATAGATGCATGGAGTGTGGAAAGACCTTCGGTGAAAAACGTAATCTTATTTCCCATAAGATCATCCACACAGAGGAGAAGCCATATAAATGCATGGAGTGTGGAAAGACCTTTGCTTATAGTAGAAGACTTACCATCCACAAAAAGCTCCACACAGGAGAAAAACCATTTAAATGCATAGAGTGTGGAAAGACCTTTGCTCTGAGCAG